GAGGGAAAACGCGGAGGGTAGCGAAGAACAGAGCGCGGTGGCCGCAAACCTTTCCCCTAAAATTCGGGGTAGGAGGAGACCGAGTTAGCTGTGTCTACACGCCGGATCGAACATCGGCCATTCACAAAGGGGCGGCGGAGTCTCTCCGGCACAAAGGAGTCGTTCCGATCAACTCGGCACGGGCTATTGTACCTTCCTCTCGACACCATCGCGATTCGTGCACGCGTTACTATCGACCTACATACACGCACGTAAGGAGCGTGCCTGTTATTCGATGCCGATTCTTGGCTCACGATATTTGCATACACATAGAGAGTTGACCCTTCACGTTTCGCTTACCGCTTTGTTTTAATTGAAATTCGCGATATTAATTTGTTTCAATAAGCACAAAATTCTCTTCGGAAATCTGAGCAGCTGTTACGTGGCTTTTCGGAATCGATTCCGCTTTCCGCGGTGATTCCGACTGTTTTCTTCGTTTTTCTTTCTTCTCTTTCGTTCAAAAGAAAAAGAAAAATCTAGACAAGTCGATATTATTCCGATCGGAATATTGATTCCGAAAAGTTGCCCAATAATTGACCGACCCCGTCCGTGGTCTTTCAGAAATCCGCGTTATTGTAAAGCAATTAAGATATTGGACACAGAGAATGTTTCTTAAAGAAATTCAAACCTCTCTTACAACTGCGAGAACGAATAATAGCTTTCTTCGAATCGTTTCACATTTCATCGAAGTCTTATTGTTAGATCGACTGTTTTTTTCTGTCAGATTTTTTCAATTTAAAAATAGCCAAAAAAAAGACATTTATTTTCTCGAAAATTGAGAAACTCACGTCAAATGATAAATGATCATCTTCCCTCGACGTTCTTCTCTCGCCGAGAAAGAAATTGATCGAAGAATCAATATATAGATAGAAGCGGTGGTGGCGCGCTAAAAGTGGAACATCCTGTACACACATACGCTGCGCATTTTCGAACTTTACCCGACTTCCGATTTTATCGGACTCCCTCCCAGTTTGCAGGTCGTAATATAAAAGTGAATACTTTCCTACTCGTGCCACTTTCCACGCTGCCCATGTCGAGTGCATTTATGTTCTGCCGTATTCCAAATCGTTCTGCAACGGAGAGCGCCTCGTTTCGAGATATCCGTACACATTTCTCAGTACATATACAGCGTTTATCTTCAAGATGGCGATTGAGCCACAGAGGGGAGGATTTCGCTTTTTTTTTTTTTTTTTTTTTTTTTTTTTTTTTTTTTTTTTTTTTATCAACACCTGACCTTTATACAATTTTTATAATATCAATAACTTGTGTATTTTCGAGAAGTCTCTCTCCCTCATATTAATTTTCCTGAGACATCGGTGTTTGGTTGTTAAAAGTACGGATTTCATTATCGGCGAATAAATATTTTTGCGTGTTTTTTTTCGGACAAAGAATCTATTTGCGAAGCCTTGAATCTTTAATCAACAAAATCGTTTCGTCCAAAAGCGTTTCGCAATTAAAGAATCGAGATCCTTTTAGTTTTACGTATGTGCTTGACTCGATAAACACGCGCGTGTATTTCGGCGGCCGAAATTGGCGGAACAATTTCACGTCTGCACGGGTTATTGGATATTGAAAAATAACGGTGTGCGACGAGAGGAGACAGGAGGGATGAAAAATGGGATATATCCGTCGGAGTTACTTGCCGACGTCTCGGCGCTGATCCTTTCCAAAGAGCCTTGCACTGCAACGCCCATCGACGCTGCTATAACGGTGAGAGAGGAAGAGAGAGAGAGAGAGAGAGAGAGAGAGAGAGAGAGAGAGAGAGAGAGAGAGAGTATGTGTGTGGGTGTGGGTTCGTCGTCCCAGATCTGTCGAAACAAATGACGCTTCAGACGCCACCTCCGTCCTCCGCCGGGATAAATGATTAAATATCGCGCGCGCGTCGCGCGTGTTCCGTCGATTTTTCTACCAATTCCATCATGGACCTCTCCCCCGCGGCGGGATTTCCGCGAGGTCTTCCTTCCGTACGTAGCTCGCGCCTGCAAGACGATACCGCCATAAAAATTATGACTTGTCGAGAACGGGTCTTGATATCCCCGCCTCTCTCTCTCTCTCTTTCTCTCTCTCTTTCTCTCTCTCTTTCTTTCTCCGTCAAGATCGTTGGTACTTTGTATTGTCGCAATCCGTTCCCACCGACTGCAGACGATGAGTCTATGTATAGCGATGGGAGACTGAACACGCGCGATTTCTCCTCTTCTCGCGGAAGGAACAAATATAACGTTCCGCTGTTATAAAATATACAATATGTTGTTTTTTTCTCCCGTAACAGATAAAAATCAAACAGATTTCGGATGCTCCGAAAATCTCGAATCAAGCATGTTTCATCGCGATTGAAAACTGCGCGCAGGGGATGTGTGCGAGCGCCGACGTGTGCGAGCACGAATTGATAGCACGTGATATTTTCACCTCTTCGCGAAGGAACAATGATGATCATTTTAAGATATACAATAATATTTATATACCCGCATTGTTTTTTTCTCTCTCTTTCTCTTTCTCATGAAAAGATAAAAAAACAAATATCTATTCGTAGCGTGTGTCAAAAATTTCGCCAATTGGCATTAAGCGTATTTTATCACGATTGAAAACATCGGCTTTTATGAATAGCATATTGAATGTTGAATATTGACTTGATGTGTGTTCTGATCGATTAAATGTAATTTACATATGCACAAACAATATTATATACACGCTAGTAATTTCTATAAATATTTACCATAAAATATAAGCACCTGACATAATTGAAACAAATACGATAATAATTTTCATTATTTCATTGAGATACGCGGTAAGCGATGTGTACATTCTCTCTCTCTCTCTCTCTCTCTCTCTTTCTCTTCTTTTGTTATCGTGACGCGCAGAGAAAAAAAACAGAAGGTGTAAATTGTCATCCGGTGGAACTTTATCGTCAACGTGAGATTAGTCACGCGCGTCAGCTGCAATTGCGCTTCAAACCGCAGCTCGCGCGCGCGCGCGCGCCGCGTCCTTAATCGCGATGGAAGTTTTTCTTTTCCCTTCTCTCCCTCTTTTTTTCCTTCCTCCACGAGGTGGCCAACTTCAAACCGCCGCGAATCAATTTAGCGACTTCGACAGTTCGAGATGCCCGGATTGGTAAGGAAATTTATCGCGCAACGTAACGGAAATTCATATCGCCGCTCGGTATATACGCGGGCAAATCGGCTTCGGCGCAAAAGACCGACGACCTCTCGCGGGTCTTGCGCGCTTGATCGATGCGCGAAACGGGAAATGAGACGTATACCTAAGCAACGCGTAAAAGTATTTCAATTCCGCATTTATTACGACGCCGAGAGAATTTCGCCGTCGCTGCGTGTAAAGAAAACGAAATTCGCCACGTATTGCGAGAAGGGCGGGGCGCCGATCTCTCTCTCTCTCTTTCTCTCTCTTTCTTTCTCTCCCTCTGATAAATCGTTCGGCGCTCGGAATGCTCGGCACTCAGGTATACAGAGGTTCCGATATTTTTATTTGTGCTCGCGTGGCACATTGCTTTATATATCCAAATTTATCCTCTTCTCCCTCTTTTTTTTTCCGCGTTGCGAAAAATACAGCCGGTTATATTTCCCGGTTATATTTCATCTCACTTAATTTGCGCGTATCTGCTCGGCATAAAATTACCCCACGTAATTTCGACGTTTCCGAAATCTTTGCGATCCGAATCTCATCTCGCGATGAATTGTACATATCCCGTGTATTTAGACGTGTATATCTGTAATAAAGTTTTACTTCATCGCGGGCGTAACTTTGCACATATATACACAATGGCGAATTTTTCAAAGTGAAAACACCTGCTGCGTGTGGGTGAGGAGAACAAAATACAACTCTTTAACTCGAGATTTTCATTAGGACGCGAAAAAAAAAAAGAGCGAGGATAAAATATATAAACGATTTTCTCTTCCAGGTAAGATACGATCCGTGGAACTATTTGGCAAGCGCGTAGTACCGCTACCTAAGTGCGATTTATAAAGCTCTCGATAGTAATATCACGGCGAATTTCCGGCGTGGTGGTGCCTTCGAAATTTGTTTGTTCGATCGTTCCCTCGCGGGAGATGTTATAGCGTATAAACGTGCTTGTTCGGCAAGTTGTTCGTTGCTTGCACGTGTTTTCATTTCGGTGTATCGCAGCCGCCGAGGCCGCCTCTCATATCATTACTGTTTCAATACGCGGGAGGTAAAGAGAACTTTCTCAAGTTCTCCGCCGAACGTTTCGCCGTCTCCTTCGCAACTCCTTTTCGCCGCTATATCGCGACAACAGATGGAAATTGTCGACGAGAAACTAACACATATCGTAGCCGCCGGTGAATTGTATACTTATGAGCAATTCAAATTTTCGAGTGGTTTTCTCTCTCTCTCTTTCTCTTTGTTTTTCCGTTTCTCTCTCTCTTTCTCGACATGCTCATTTCTCGATAATTTCACCGATTTACCATTTAATACACTTTCAAACATGTTACTCTCGCGAATAATTTTGTGCGAAGAGAAATAAATGTAGCTAAATACATTTTCTCTCTCTCTCTCTCTCTCTCTCTCTCTCTAATAACACACACACACACGCGCGCGCGCGCGCGCACGTTACACACAAAATGATTTTATGAAAGAAGCAAATTTCGGGAGCGAAGACTGTATGACGTGTTTAACGACATATAGTAAATTTGCTTAACGCATTAACGTAAAACAGAGAGAGAGAGAGAGAGTATGTATATGCGACAACTCAATTTTGTATGAGTTGATTGTTTTGTCAGTAACGCAATTTACATTTCCGAGTAATGGCATGTCAAACAGTTTGATTGAAAGTGCCGTATGGCCAATGAAACGCAGAAGAAAATAAAATTAATATTGAAGGGAGAGGAGAAAAAGGTCAGTTTATAAAAATTACAATTCACAGTACAGAAAAAACTTGAAAAATCATCGTTAAAACTTAAAAATAGTTTATTTCGCGTACGCACACACACACACACACACACACTTCTCACTTGTATATACAAATAGAATTTATATGCAGAGAGATACAATATTTACAGAAAGGAATCTCTCTGGATAAAAGTATCTAATATGTACATATATATGTATGTGTAGAACGTGACAAATTTTCAATTCGGAGCAAAATATTATCGCACCTTCAAACTTACAACTAATACAAAAACTGCAATTGATTTAGAGACAAACCACACTTGTATAATTATATTACAGCCAGCGGAGAAGTGACCTCACGTCTCTGCAGCTCGCAAATAATAACTCGTCGAGAGAGTGTTTTAGTTGCGTATAATATAATCAGTGAATCTCGCGTAAGAGGAGAGCAAAATGTGGAAATTTCCCTCAAAGTCGGAAGCGTCTTCCATAGTGAGGCAATGGTATGTTGCGTTTCGCTACATAGATACGTACACTCTACTATCTTTGAGAAATTCCACAGTGGCTCGTTTTAATAGACATGCGCGCGCGCGCCCGCACGCGAAAATTTCTCATCGCGAGAGAGAGGCCAACCCGTTCTTCAGAAGTTACGTAACGGTGAGTTAACGTCACATCGTTTGGTCCCTGGCATGTGTGTTTGCTTTTATAATTATCGTTATGCAGAGAAACCTGTTACTTGACGGCGTGCTTTCTATAATGAGATACGCGCGCCGAGTGAGATTGAGTAATATACCTACGTTAACAGAGTACTTGTACACACAACAATGCCGCTATGTATGCAAATCGGCTCGCGAATCGATCGAAAAAGCACTCTTTTGCAAACCGCTCAGCTCGCTCTCGAGTTACCCGAACGAAGGCTCAAGCTCCTTTCAAGCGATATCGGCGTTCCAAAAAACTAATTTATGCGCTTCTAATCCGCGCCTTCAAACTTCCGGAGATACGATAAGCCAATCTTCTTTAACGCGTATAAAAAGACGTTTTCGATTAAAATATATCTTGCGCTCTTTAAAATACATACATGTTTATTTATTATTCACATTTTAAAAAAATCCCTGATTTTTATATTTCTAAGAGTTCTCTATCTTGGATAGGATCAAAATCGCATTTTCCGCGCCTCTCGAGCGAAAGACGCGTAGAAAAATCCGCATCGCACAAAACTGTGTGTATCATTTTGCAATTTTTCCTCTTACGCAATGTTTCCGAGATAAACGGCTCGTTCGAGCGGCAAATTTCTTTATGCGCGATCGGTACGTACCACACGTGTACGACCCGACATGTCCTCTGACCGATCCCGCAGGGATCCAGAGGCGCATCGCAAAATGTCATAAAGTCATATTAAGGACTGTCCGGTGCGTTCTCCTGCCAGGCCAATAACGTGTTCATGTCGGTGATACCACGCGTGCTCCACGGCTCGAGCGGATCCGAGGGCGACGTCGGCGGCGAACAGGTCGCTCTGCTTCGCTCAATCGATTCCCTTCTCCTCGCCTGCGGCTCGTCCATTTCCTTAGGCGATACCCTGTGCATATATGTCGTGAAAAAAAAGCGCGATTAAGGAAGCACAGTCGATCGATTGTCGATATCGGACAGTACGTCGCCGGATATTCGTTGAACCATATGTAGATTCTTTAATCTGCCGGAAGACAAGGTCTTTTTTTAACGAAAATGTCAAACGTCGTCGATTTTCCGTTCTCGAAGATAGCGTTGTTTTAATTGAATGAATTAGTAATTGAAACGAAACTCTTCGAAGGTGACAATTGAAACTTGGTAGAAGTAAGCAAGCTCTCGACAAAGTCGACGCGGATGTTTCGATGAGACGCGCAATATTATTTCAGAGTGTAAATTTACGCAAATTGAATTAATTCGAAAGTTGTTTGCATTTCTTTTTTCCTCAGCAAATTCTCGTGTCGCTTATCAAGTTGACTTATCCGTTAACAAAGCGAATAGCCGTTTCAAATAAACCGAAGGTAATTTTGTGGCGTGTTATTTTGTTGTTGACAACAATGTCGAGAGCGTAACTGGATTTCAATTCGGCTAAGAATCTATCTCCGTAGCGTTTGATTTGATTTGCGTATATACATATATGTATATATATATATATGTATATATACGCAAATCGCGCGGCTAATGTTGTGAGATAATTATTGCGTGGAATTTAATTAATGCGTCAGTAAAATCGTGTGTCAGTTTAACGCGTCGTTTGATCATTATACACTCGGAAGTGTCAGATCTCCCGCGCTGTCCACTATCGCGGCTAGATACGATTACTCTTCGATAAATATCGACTTTCTAGTTCGGATATCCAGTTCGTACATTTGTACGTTCCGCAGAATTTAAATCTGTTCCGCGCCCCGCTCGCGGCGAACAGCACTTTCCGGTGCCGCGCAACGAAAGTTATTTAAAAAAAAAAAAAAAAAAAAAAAAAACCATATAATGTAATATTTATTTTTAGCAGTTTTCGCTTTTACTTCAAACTTGTAAAACGCACGGCTCTACGCGCGCTCGGTGTATGCACAAGATATTTCAGAAAAATCATTTAACTCCTGTGTGTTTCGCGCAAATACAAAAATATATATTTCGCGCTTTATCTCTCTGTCTATAACGCGCGTCTCCGTCTCTCTTTTAGAGAATAAATGATGCATGATTTGTCGCGAAATTTGTGTCGAAGGACACACGTCGCGTTTTGTCGACCTTGTTATTACCTGTTCTTGGCCGTTTTTGGCCGACGTTTTTGGAACTTGTCCGACAGTTTCGCGGGAACGCCGCCGTTCTGCTTGATCTCCGACTTGATCGTTTCGACGGAAGCCTTTCGTCCTTCGATGTGGTTCGTCAGTTTCTCTTCCGGATCATTCAGCAGCGGTCGATAGCGCTGCTGGCTACGCTCGACGGACGTGGCGGACGAGGAACTGTCGTCGTCGTTATCGCGGCGCGACCGTTTCGACGTGATGAATCTGTTATTCGCTGATTTTATTCTTCGCAGACGAGCCTCGGTGCCGAGCAAATTGTCACCTGCAAAGAGAGACATAAATCTCTCTGATTTTTATTGGAGACGTGTAACATTTGTATAAAATATAAATTGTTAATATAAAATAAATACTATTAATTCAAACATAATAAAATAATAATAATTGTTAATATATTACGTATAGACCAATTTTTCGATATTTTTGTCGCAAAGTTTTTAATAAGATCTTTTATTTACCGCCAAGATCATTGTCGCTGGATTCCACGAAGTATTGCTTCTTAATGACAATGGATTTCTCAGCGGTCGGCGGGGCGATCATGCCGAGGTGTGCCAGAATTTGTGGGTCGACCGTGGTTTTCATCGAAGCTTCGCTCGTGGCCAGAGCGGACTTTGCTATTCGCAATAGAGTTTCGTAATCTGTCGTGGTCTCGGAAGCGATAGCGAGTTCCAGAAATGGATCTTCGACAGCTTCTTCGACAGCTTCGAGCGCATTCGTATCTGCATTTTAACGCGCGCGGGTGTCATTTAATGCCATCGCGTGTCGAATTGCGTTTTTACAGGAAGCGCGCGACCAAAAGCGGGAGATATCATCATTTATACGTCGCTCTTACATATCGATAAAACGTCATTGGGTTTTTACTTACGATTTGTATTCTTCGTGTTCGTCGCTTCAACGTTCTTAACCGGATCGTTGGAGATGTCGATTAACTCCGTGAGACCCGACAATCTACTCGGTTCCCCGATGGGTTGTTTATACGGTTGAGCACTCATCGCCGTTCCCGGATTATTCTGGGCCGTCGTCTTCGTCTGTTGTTGGTCACTCGGGGCGGCGGCTTTGTTCGGCTGCGCCGTCGTTTTCGTCTGCTTCGCGTCGATATTGGTGGGTATACCCTCCGTCGCGGTGGATAAGTCGAAGTCATGTGCAAAGGCCATTACGTCCAAAGCTGCGGTTAGCGCATCACCAAAACCTGCAGTAACTGCCGACACTTGCGGCTGCCCGGCATTGGGACTGTAATGCACGGTAAAATTATTGCGCGGCCACAATGTTCCACGGGGCGGATTGATGTACCGCGCAAAATCTGTCTCGTCGCGTTTTACTATCTCCGTATACGGGAACGGGAACAGAATTATTCTCAACCCACGCGATATTATAAATAATCTCAATATATTTCTCGAATGCGAGAGGAAATTAGACTAATTTCGCTAAATGGATTCAGTGAGCGAGAAAGAAATAATTGAAATATTATAACATTAAAAAGAGTATATCTGTTTTACAAACGCATATAAATATGAGACTTTAACGGAGACTCACTTTGGAGGAAGAGAAAGGGAGAAAATCTAGTATAATTAATAATGCTTAACAAAAAGAGTTGAATATAATTAATTTAAGCTAAATTAATGATAAACAAAAAAAAACCAGTTATTCCGTGGCACGTTTAACATACCATTAATTTTACAGGACGTTAAGTGATTGATGCTCCCGGGAAATAGCTGATTTTTTTGCTTAGATATGCGACCTGTTCATGTTGTTCATCTTACATCCTGCTGCAAGGTATTATGTAACGCATCGCGCGCGCGCGCGCGCGCGCTCACACACACGTCTCGGAGCTTCATAAATATTTAATAGAATCGAGATACGGTCACATTCACGCGGCTGTTACGCGCGCGTTCGTTCGTTCGTTTGTTACAAACGTGGCGCATGGCCGATCCCCGTGAAGGCCTCCGACGTTTCTAGACAGAGCTGGACGCGCGACGGACGTTGGGGCTACATCCGGATTGTGACAGTTGCACGGCGGAATTATACGAGAGAGAGGTGATAAAAAGTATCGTCCGGGTGCTGTCTCACTGACAGTGAGTCACTTCGCCGCAAGGGCGACCGTAAATCTATGCACGCCGCGGAACGCTCGTGAAACGCGCGTGACGTAAGCGGATAATTGAAACAGATTTGCTCATTCTTGTCGCGAACTCTGTTATATATACGTTCAATGCGGCGAGAATTCCACAGTTGCGCTTGAAATTTGTGCGCGCCGTTGTAGGCGACACGAAACGATACAAAATAATACAAGGAAATTAACGTAATTAGGGGAAAAAAATAAAACGGAATAAAATATCATTATGTAGGCGGTAACATAAACGCGGGATGCAACAACAACAAAAAAAAAAAGAGGAAAAAGACTCAACATATATTCCGACATAATACTGAGAGTAATATATATATATATATATATATAACAACCGGGTGGCTCTAGGAGAAATACGGTATGATGAGATACGATAAAAGTATCATTACCTGGCTCGCACAGGAGTAGAAAAGGACGCGCGACCCCACATTATACGTCGCAGTTCCTCACCAGTCATACCTCGTTTTCTCAGCTCGTTTATCGTGACTTTTCCGACTCGCTGCAAAAATGCAATATACAGTGGGACAAAATTATAACGGAGGTCTCTCTCCTCCCAGCGATCGTTCGTACATCAATGAAAGATCACTCGTGTTACGATATTTCCGTAGGCGAAAATGGAAATTCGAATAACGATATTATTAGCCTCCATTGCTGATAATCGATATATCTGGTTTCATAACATCGGGGACACTTTATTTTTATTACCGCCGGCGCAACTTGCATCGCTAATTACTATTGATATTTTTGTCGACTTGCGACAAGTGGGAGTTGTAAAAAAAAGTCACCAAAAAGTTTCAGTCGAAAACAGAAATCAGTTTTAAAACAGAAATTTCGCGTGATTTTTTTTTTTAATTTTTTTTTCTAAGTTTTATTTAACGCGATGCAGCACACATCTCGGAATTTTCTGCGGGAAATGAGTTCCACGCGGGAGAAAGAGTTCAAAATTCGCGTCAGTCAGATCGACCGACAATGATAAATTATAAATTTTTGACGTTTGACGCACACGAGCGCGGAATAAATCTTCGGATGCGCATCGCAACGCGCGCGTGTCCAAAACAAAAGTTAAATATAAGTATAAATAAATTACCTTCCAATTAGCTAAGGCGCCCTTGCGCTGTTTCGCTCTGGTTTTCGATTTGCTTTTGATGATCAACACGCCTCTCTGCTCCGACGCGGGGTTGTTCGGATCGTCGCCGGGTCCCAGCTTGATACTGTACTCCTGAAGATACGTATGAGCTTTTTCCTGAGACACCGCGCGTTCCAGAGACACCACGATTTTCGCCCACTTGATACAGAAAATTTTCAGACGTGAATGTTCAATAAGCTTAAATTATACTTATTTAAAACATTTATTCGCGCAAAAGTTTCAGCATAGCGTGTGTTAATATACAAGTTTGCAAACGTTTCTCTTTCAATCAATACTCCAAATACGATAATTTTTGTTCGTCAATTTTAATATTAACAAGAGTAGCTCGAAATTCTCACATCAAAATTTATTAGGATTTTATTTTATCACGCTCAGGAAAATAATTCTTAAAAGCTGTAACGAAAAAGCTGTAATAACGAAATTGTCGCGGAAATTACATCGTAAGAAACTTGGCAAATTTCTTCGATACCAACCTGCTTGACGAATTCCTTCTCGCTCTGCTCGATAACGTGCGCGTACGTATTACCCATCATCGCGATTAACATGTTGAGGAGCAGTATCGGCACGAGCACCATAAAAATCGCAAAGACGGCCTTGCTCAGGTTCGGATAAGTCGTGTAACTCAGATCGGCGTACTGCAAAAATAGGTACACAACAAAACCGGAGGGGAAACGATAAACGCGACGATAAATCGTCTCGCGGGCGAACAACGACGCGATACAATTAAAATACGTGCTGATAAATTAAGCTACGCGGGTGTAGTATCGGTCGATGTTGCGTGCGCGCGGCGACGGCGGAAACACGCGGAATTTTCAAACGGAAACTCGTATTTTCCGTGCTCGAGAACCCCCCTTTTAATTCGCGAGCGCAACGAGTTAATCGTTATACGAACTGCGAAACCGAGCAATGATTTTTACCCGGACAGGCGGTATTTCACGGGCGGTCCCGTTCTGTCCGTTGATGCGAGCGCGCGCGCGCTAAATCTTTAATTTCGTCAGGAAACCATATTGTAGTGTATTTTGTGCGACGTGAAATTGTCCGTGATTGAAATTCAAGATTCATGAGGCCGCACGTCCTGACGCGCCCGCCCGCCCGGCGACCGACCGGAAAAACGTTCGGACTGATGTAAACGCGCGAGCGTTAAATCGCACAATTCTGACGTTTACAATAATTAAACTAATATTCCGTAATACGATATAACACCTACAAATTTTATTTGCGCTGCAGAAAAAAGCCGGATTAAACAATGTAAATGAATTATCCCGATGAAAGAGGGCGCGGATGAGGAAAACGTTGTTTTAATATCCGCAAAGTAAGTTATTTATTTATAAATATATATATATATATATATATATATATTTTATCTTCTATTCGTTCAAAGAGCAAATTCGTGCAAGAGCAAAAAGACAAAAAAAAAAAAAAGGGAAAAGGGGTGGAACACGGGTGCACACACGCGTGCGAGATAAGGCGGCCTTGCATAGTGGGAAACTGCCGTGCCGTGCCAATAAAGCGGTAATTTATAGCGAGCTTACGTTATAATCGCCAAGGGTTATCTGAAACAGCGCCATCCAGGTCGAAGGATAGGAATGATAGAGCGATGATTTTACGCCTGGAAATCCTTTATAGAGAACGTAAAACGATTGCGAGAATCCAAAGAGCATGACCGTGTAGATGATACCAAAGGTCAGCATATCGCCCGTTATCATGCTGTATATCATCGTCACGAACGGCCCGGTCAGCCGAATAGCTCTGTGAAAAATTAATGTGCAATATATATATATATATATTATCGAATCAACGCACGCGTGAAAAATCAAAATATACATGTATCGCACGCACATCGGTAGTGAGAAACACGCAGCATTTTCAAATAAAATACAAATGTGTTCAAAAGGGTGAAACTTTTGTTTTGAAAATTGTTTGGGAAAAGAGACGCGAAAATCATTTAGAAAGTTTTTTGTTCTCATCTATTTTCAGTTTATAGGTTGGATTTAATCATGCAGTCCATATATTAGCGGCTCCAACAAAATTATCACCGTCACTATCGCGCGTGTGAATGAGGTGTCGCGTTTCATTCAGCGGTATTCGCGCATCAAAGGTCCGGCGTAAATCAGTCTATTAACGTCACCGACATCGATTTCACTCGTGTGACACGAATACGCGCAATATTATGCATACAAAATCCACGGTAAAACATTTCGCCACGGTGGTGCGTCGCGTTGTGTGTGGAGCGGACACATTATAATTGCATCTCTCTAATCCGCCCAAATGATGCGTCTTTTAGCTCGACACGCGCCGACCGGCAAAAGCCAAATTGAAATAATATTATCGCGCCGCAAAACAAATTAATATGGCGTGTCTTCTTTGCCGCGCGCGCGCGCTCGAGCAATTATGCTTAATAATAATAACAATTATGTTGTAATGTCGTAATCGCGAGCGTCAGCTTCTCTTTGCGAATAACGCGGACGTAATTATTTAAAAATTAGAAATGTTTATAGAAATTAGAACGTTGCATTTTTTTTATTTAAAATCACGCGCGCAAACATCAGTCCGAATGTCGTGTTCGTATTTATTATCAGTAGAATTATGTGGCGCTCGCTCACAGCGAGGACACTTTTGATAACGAAACGATCGGTTAACAAGTTAGAAAGTGCATGGCTTTGAACACTTGATATCGGAGTTCGCTGTATAACGCACGTTATCGCGTTTCCTGTAAGCCGCGATAACACGAAATATGTCAGGCACGAAAAGTGCCAGTGCAGCAATTCGGCGCGCATATGTAAACCACTCTTCTTACACGCAGCTCGAATTTATAGCGAGCAGAATAATTAAATGCTAATAACTCTGAAGAGCAGGGAAAGTTTAATACTTTATTGATTAATCGCGGTGATCGTAATCGCCGATATAATACGCCTGTACAGTAAGCAGTTTTTTTTTGTTTACATCGTGGAATTGTGCAAGAGCGATTTAAAAATATAGTAAAATTGTATATTGTGTGTACGTGTGTGTGTGTGTGTATGTGTGTGTGCGTTATTTGTGAAAAACATCGTGTTAACACTTGTGACTTTTGATTGTAAAAAAGTCATTGAAAAGTATTACAAAAATAATTCAGATTATTCGTGGCGCGCGCGCGTGAATTTTGATAACGATATTATGAAAATTAAATTGGAGAGAGAGATAGATAAAGAGAGAGAGAGAGAGAGATAGATAGATAGATAGATAGATAAAGAGAGAAAGAGAGAGGAAGAAGGAAAATTTCATTACGTAATATGTAGAACATTAGAAATGCGCGTTTAAAGGTCTTTTTACCCGATCATATGCTCATAGCGAGAGAAAATTCGATTTTAAGTTAGCGTATTACCGATTGCATTAACTTTGTAATACTCTAGCGTAAGTAAGTTACGACTCTTTCGTTATCACAAAGTTGGAATCGTTACTAATATAAAGCAGACTTTCGAATAAAGTATTAACGTGTTACATCTCGTCGGTATTGAAGCAATTTGCTGAAAAGATTTGCTTCAATATTGTCGATACCGCGTGCAATACGAACTGAACTGTGCGCGTGCGTGCGCGCGCGCGTATGTGTGTCGTATATCGTTAAATCAATTTTTTTAACATGAAAAACACGTATGAGCAATTCATATGCGCATAAAGATATATTGCTTTCAATTATAAAATTACATATTTAATATAAACATACGCATGTATATATATAAATTAAATTTATTACGCAATTTCAGAGATTGTTATATATTTAACTATGCGCGATAATTGTATAAGAGTTTAAAATGATTCGTGAATTAAACATCGGTTTGAGACTGATTTATAAATTGTTCATTTGTGTGAAGAATTAAATTCAAAATGAATTTTTTGTTAAATGTGTGTGTGTTTCACAAAAGAACGCGCGCGCGCGCGCGTACGCACGCACGTTGTGCACGCGGTTCACTCGTTTGTTTTTTTACGCTTTGGAGAACCATTTGCGTTTCACGGCTACACACGATTATAACGACGGTACGCGTCGATAAAATCAAAACGATTCGTAATCCGAATCTCGCGGTATCGTGTGCCGAGCGGAGCAGCACAATGGTAACGCGAGTCGGAACTCAGATCGGAATCGAAGGAATCGTAGCGATTAAAATCGATGCCGCCGCCGTTGTCGGACGGGAACGGCTACGGGAAACAAAAGCTTTTTAATCCCGAACGTCGTATCCGCGCGTCCATCGACAGGCCGACAAATTTTTCAGATTCGTCATTCGGTCGGGATTAAGATTGAAGAGACTCACCTGGCGCGCACATACACACACACACACACACACACACCAACATCTACCGCGAATGAACGAACGAACGAACGATACGATACGATACGAACGGCAGTGATCGACGAATAACGGCGGAAGAGAGAAGCATCGATCGAGTCTCCATTAACTACGACGACAACGACGTCGTCGTCGCTCGATCGGTCCTACCCTCTTCCGCTAATCGATGAGTGACCTTATCTTGTCATGGGTTACCGGTGCCCATAAATCTTCAGTCTTTTTCCCCCGAAGTAAGTTCAAGGGAGGGTACAGCTGTGCGATAGAAAAGACACAGCGACGCGAACGCTCTAGGGCGACCCCTACGGTATATAACATTGCCGATATAGCGAGCGAACGCTCTCGGTATAAGCGATGCAACTTGGATGAGGGATATAACATCGTTGTCCCGGGTATCGCGTATACGTTGTCCCGGGAAAATCAATAGGGACGCCGACTTCCGCTCGGCAAACAAGTTTCCGCTCTCTCTTACGCGAGTCTTCCTCCACGCTATACTTTCAGCGAAGTTAGAGAGAAGTAAAAGAGAGAGAGAGAGAGAGAGAGAGAGAGATTGTGCTGCGTTTTTTTCCTTTCTTTTCCGATCTTCTCTCTTCCCGTACATAACACCGGTAATTATGCCGGATTAGCTGCCGCGTATCGACATGCCGCTGTGATAGATCGCGAACGAATTATTTCCGATTATTATCGTTTTCGCAAATCGATATCCAAGTAAGAATCAATTACGACGAAGAAACACGATTAAAATTCAGAATTATTCCGATTATTATTATTATATCAATTTCTTTGTGCGAAATAATTAATTTAAGACGCCATTGGAAAATGTTTTTTCGCGAAATTCGAAGATCGAATCCATTCTTTATACAAGCGACAGTAATATCTTGTGACAGGAGGTTTACTTGGATTTACGGTGGCTCAATCGGTGATATTTCTCATTAAAATATACGCGATCAATAACGCGAAATCCCCTGTAATTATATTTGCCAAAGAAACGCAGATTTAATTTTCCGCGCGATAATAAAAATTTTAAAGCGGAGAGTACACACTCACACACACATACATACACACATACACAGAGGAGGAAGATAATCCCGAATGATGAGTATTACCGCGTGAAAGAATTACGATCCCTCGCTTTTGACGCCATAATTCGACTCCCGTCCGAAGCTTTCGAAAGTAAAGCGCTAACTCGATATGTCGTATATACGGACCCTTTGCGCAGGCTGCAATTTTATCTATTTAGAGGATGCGGTGTAAGAGAATCACCCGCTCTCTCTCCTTCCGCGCGACATTTCCCCGTAATTACTGTCCATCAGGGTCCCTCTTTAGACGCTTCCGCCCCCCCCCTTCCTCCTTCTCGGCGTCACTTCGTTTAAGTACATATACGTGCAGTAATTCCTCAAAGGCTTCCGCGCACTCGGCGCCACCGTGTTTCTTGTCTTCCATCACGGCTGTCGTTCGCTTGGCAATAAGCCACGCAGTCACGCCCGAGATTAATTTCGCACAAAATTTAACGGGGGTGGTCTCTCTCTCCTCTACTCCCGCTCTCTCTCTCTCTCTCTCTCTCTCTCGCTTTCCCTCTCCGCCTGTAAAGTTACGGCCTAAGTGCTTTACGATGTACCATTTACGAGGTACCCCGCCGTTTTACGTCTGTTTAAATTCAATATGTACTCTTTGCGCCTGGGCGCAAGGAGAGAGTTCCGTGGAGAACCTTCTTCTGTATACCTTACCGGCGCGCGCGCGCTTCTCAGACGCAGCTTGAGGGCACGCAGGAAGAGGGAACACAGAAGCCCGAACATAATACGCTCTCCTCTGGTACTCGTCGGCGGCGCGTTTTAGTTATCGCGTTATAAGCATCGACTTTGATCCGAAGTTGCACATATTTCGTAGTGGAAATTTTGTTATCTTTTGTGCTTTTGTCATTTTTTTTCTTTTATACACGATACACACGAGATATATTACGAGAAAAGAACGAGATTACGATTAATAATAAAAAAGCGAAGAAACTCGCGCGGTAAAGAAAAAGAATCAGAAAGAGGAATATACATTCGTTGTTTTTTTTTTTTTTTTTTTTTTTTTTTTTTTTTTTTTTTTACTTTTTTGCTAGAAGGGGTAAGGGAAGAAAGAGGAAAAATTCGTTGAAAAATATCAAAAGGATAACCGCACGGGCAACGATCATTGTTCGATTTTCAGGAAAGTGGACGAGCGGCATCCGCCAGCTGACACTCCACATATCGAGATGTGGCGTCTCTCAGTGATGTTTACGTGCAGCCGCCGGACTGCAGCGGGTCTCGAAAGCTGGAAGAAGTTTGCCGAAAGGAGCAGCTGCAATCCGACCGTTCCCGTTTTCTATATGTCGGTCACGTAGCTCTGATATCACGTATTAAGAAAACGTATAGGTAAGTACAATGCGAGTTGCACGTCCTCGCCACTCGATAAACCATTTGTCCCGTTCTTCGCGGGGAGCGGTAGGTAGGTATGTGTACGTCCGACAGGAGGCGTCGACATTCGTCAAAGTGTCGTTAAGCGCAAGAGAATGTTCGTCTGAAACATGTGTGTGTGTGTGTGTGTGTGTGTGTGTGTCATTTTGGGCGCAACAGACGAAGATAAGGACGAAAGTTTTCCAAGTGAAAAGTCTTGCCAGTGAGGAGTGCAGGTAATGATTTTCTGTTATTAGTTACGATGATTTACGATATCTCCAAGTTTCCGTTTCCAGAATGAAACAAACGTACTTTGCGTTGACGAGAATTACGACGCGCATGACAAATTGTATAGGAGATAATAATTGAAGATAATATATGCTGTTAAGTAACAAAACACTTCAACTCTTGTTTTCTCTCTTAAAATTAAAAATATTATAATTATTATTATCATTCCGCGTGACACAACCATGTGTGTATTTTTATGTCGGCCTATAATTAGATGTTATTAAACATTTTTCTGTGCCGTTTTCGCGCTGCGGAGAATCCTTCGTAAAAATAGAAGTACGCGTAATTGTTTTCAGCTTTTTGCCCTCGAAACTTCAACGGGTTTTCCTCCCTCGTCACTCTACCGTGTTTAACACCTGTTTTTTTTTTTTTTTTTTTTTTTTTTTTTTTTTTTTTTTTTTTTTTTTTTTACGAAGGATTACACAAAAATAACCGATCGTGATTATTTTATTCGCAAGCGCTCGTGCATAGAACAAATAAACGAACGCATAAACAAACACACACACACACACACACACAAATTCAAAAAGTGTCTTAAATTTACTCGAAAAAAATTCGGTTCGATATTCAATCCAACAAATTGCGAGACGATACGACGTGTGTTACGTGCGTGGATGGTTGCGCAGCGAACACATCGCCGGCTGTAAAACGTCGTCTCGTGTGTTGGTGGCGCTAAAATGATGCGTAAAACAAACAGGACGGCGAAAGAGGGATGTAACGAGTGCAATCTAGTTGCGTCGCTCCAGTAAATTGCGGCCACTTTAATTTCGCGGCCCCGTGTGTGTCTCACCCGTCCTCTCACTCACCCTCTCACTCTCTCTCTCTCTCTCTCTCTCTCTCTGTGTCTCTTTGTGTATTACTTACCCGGCGAAAAACATGAGAAGAAACCACGAGCCCGGCACGGCGAACACCAGTATCGCATCCTCCGCGTGCCGATTGCCGGCGATACGACATGGAATGCACGCGAGAATGAGCAGATTGCTGATCACGAATATCAACTTGGCCGGTTCGTGGCTCTGAAATGCAAATGCGCGCAGGCGGAACGTTAGTGCGGCAGCATGCACTCTTGCAACGTTTCAGGAACGTCCGCAGGGGAATCGATATTTTCGTGCAATTTCGATACCTCCTCTCCGATGTTATAACGACGACGACGACGACGACGACGTCGACGACGACGACTAATGAAGACGACGCACATTGTGAAATTTGCTCGGCGCGTGTGACGCGATGAAAATATTTTCTACGTGTATCCGATTGTATTTCTTCGCTATTGAAAAAAGTGTTTTTTACACATCTGAATTTCAAAAATTTCAAGATTTAACTCTTGCGTCTGTCAACTTCTCAATTTAATACGTTTGCTTGCGGCTCGCGGCTAGTCAAGTGACGTTACGCGGCGGACGAGCACCGTATCAAAGAGTAAAGTTAAACAGCTAATCTATTTTTTTTTCGCGAGAAAATATACGTGCGCGATAAATACGCGTATATTATATCTGTTGGAATTTCCTTTAGAGAGTCTCTCGATTCGCACACACGCGCGCGTGTGTGTGTGTGTGTGTGTATATATGTGCAACATTTATATTTATTTCTACGCGCGATCAGATAAAACATTTTGCCCATTTAGTCGGGCAAATTACACATTGTGCGACGACGAGACTCCCGCGCGGGCCGGCGCGGCTCGCGGCGCGCGTTAACGTTTTTGAATTGTCACCGGTATTAATTACCCGCAAATCGAAGCGCACGCTCAAACTGAAACTCGCGTTTAATAATGCAACGATATAGCTTATGTCGTTTCGATTGTGCCGGAGCGTGCGTGCGTGCGCGCGCGTGTGCGTGTGTGTATATATTTTTGTAATAAATGCATGTATATATATATACGCGTACGTGCGCGCGCTATTGATCGCGAGAGCGCGAGCAATAGCTAACGGTATGTGTGTATGTATATTCTCTTCTAATTGATAGATGTGGATAGATAACCGATAGGCACGCTAATGCGCCGATATTTTCTACACTTCCGCGAAAATTCCTCGAAAAATACTTGGGAAAATATACGGACGGTAACATGTATTTATTTTTATGTATATATTTTTTTTTGCACACACACGCGCACACACACACACACATCGCGGCTTGGTTTTATTTTTCACGAATTAAAAAATAAAATGTTCTTTTCCACGAGGAGAGAAAAGATTTTAATTAGCAATTTGTACGCGCAACCGTATGTTTATATTCCGCTCGCCCGTTGGGAAAGAGAATCCATCTTTACTATCGAGGACATACGCGATATCGAAATATCGACTCTGTGCCGAAAAATGCTCTCAACGTAATCAATCATGCGGCGGAGTGTCTTTTCTGAGGTTTTATTTTTCTACCTTTATAGTTCCACTCTGTGACGCAAAGTCGCGCGAAACAATCCAATTATTAAATCCGACGTAGCGACGCTAATCTCGCGTAAGGGGTAAGAAATTTTGCTGTCGTGTCTTTGTACAAAAATAAACGTTTGTATTCTTCTGTAAAACAAAGATTCTTATAAAACAGGAGACAGAGAGCGGCGATATATATACATGCAAATAATTATTTTCTATCGCGTTTGATATTAAATTTAATTTACTTGCACACAAACGCACAGAGGAGCGTAAAAAAGTGAAACAAAAATTAAGTCATCTTTTCTGTAATTTAATTAAATACTTCGAGAATTTCTTGGTACACCGCGAACGGGGTTTCCTTATCTCTTACAAGTTAAGAAAGTTGATAAGGAAAAGAGACAGAAAAAGAAAGAGGGGTCCGCGCGATCGTTAATAATCCCGCGCTGTTGCTTTATACCGCTATACGTAATGCCGCCCCATCGCAATCATCGACCCATCTTTCTCTTATTCTCCGGGCTCATTAATGCGTGAAAGATTAGTGCCGCAGCTTCCTACGGCGGAATATACATCTCGCCGCGCGCATCCGTCGTGATCCGTTACAGTTCACTAGCCTCGGGATTTGCGCAACCGGCTGCACTTAGCCGGCGTTGCCGCACCGAAATTGCACCGTCGAGTATCGACATCGCGAGCCATCACGAAACAACGGGACATTTCGCGATCGGTAGAAACGACAACAACGATGACGCAGCCGGAGCGAAGCAGGAACGTTTACGCTTACCCAACGGGCCCCGAGTCGCATTACATAATCGATCGGGAGAAATAGATGCCACCGTTCGTGACCTCCGAACAAAGAGAGAGAGAGAGAGACACCTGATTCTTTATCGAATACACGTTCATTATCGATTTGCAATTTTGTTTTTCACAAAAAAGTTTTTACAGAATGATCTTTCTCAACGAAACATGTAAAACAAACTACATTACACATTTCAGAGATTTTAAAATTATTATTTGTTTTTGTAAACTTTTTTTACATTTCTGTCTACTCGAGCGTATATTTTATACTACTTCGCGATCTAATTTACAAAAGCTATAAATTTATTAAATCGCATCGTTTATTCCTGTCTGTTTTTTCCACACGATGTTTATTTTGGAGCTGTGAGTTCAGTGGCTTTCCGATTCGTCGGGAAACCCGAGCGGCGAAACGAGCGTTCCTGCGAGCGCGGCGAGGTCATCCGCGGGGTGACGGAAAAATAAAATGTTCAGTCCAACCTACCAGTTGCTTCAGAAACGACAGCGGACCCACGTTGATCATCTCCCCGCCCAACTGCAGCAGAATGTAGAACAGCACGCCTATCATGGTGAAGACCTCGGCGGAGGTACGGACGATGTCCGTTATCTCCGTGGGCATCCGCAGCGGCAAGGGGTCCATGTCCGCGGGTCTGCTGTACACGGCCAGGGACAGGCAGACCAGATGGAGCACCAGGATAATCAGTCGGTTCCTGAACTGCGCCTTTTCAAAAACAGTATAGAAACGGATATAAATGTGCACACAAGCGTCCCGTGCACTTTCCGTCGGTCGCGAACGGCGCACAACTTGGCGCGCATCGATTGCCCGGAACGTAAGAGCAAAGTTTCGCAGACGGTAATATACAAGGCCGATCTCGAAAATATTGCCTTGGTCCCGCCGGGCTAAGCTTCAGGGATGCGAACTTTCGACGAACATATGTACGTACGAAAGGATTTCTCGATTTCTGAGGGAATTTTATTTTTCTCTTAGAGTGTGTGTGTGAGTGTGTAAATTGACGAGAACAAATTATATATATATATATATAATCCAAATTAAATTTAATTCAAAAAAACAATCGGATGTTTGGTTCGCGTCTCGTTGATTTTCTCGCGCTGCTTTTTCCGCAAAGTAAGTTGGCACGTCTACGTTCGTTATCGCGAGATTCGAGTAGCGGCGGAAATTGCTGCGGTCCAGCGTGCATTTCTATTTCCGAGATGTATTTTGTGCGAAGTACGATATAAAAAAACGGTGTATTCTTATATCCGAAACACTTGTATTTATTCACACGAACGACATCGGATTGTGTACATATGTGATTATGCAATAAAATTTCTTTGGGAGCGCGCACATGGCCGCGAAACGCGGCTAATCATCTTTCTCGTCTCTCCCCCCACTCTTCTCCATCGTCGTCGGAAAATTCCCCGTGTTACGCCCGCGTCGCGTCATGTTATTATATCGGTGGCGATAATCCAATTGCTCAACGCGACGTTTAACATCTCTCTCGTTTTATCTGCCGCGCGTCCCGGCGCGCTTTCCAAAGCGGCCGCTGTTGTGCGCGTCGCGCTAAACGGATAAAATCGTTCTAACGAAGTGCTTTCCCGGATTGACTCCGACGCTATGATCCGATAATAGGAAAATCATAGTCCGAATCCCGGGCTACAGTAACACTGCATATTGTAGTCTACATGCGGTCCGAATGTGGTCCGTGATTAGCGCAATAAATGGGACGTTACGCGAGGCCGGTTATAATATGCGCGATACGCGCAGCGAGTCTACGTCTCCCTTTCCCCTTTCCATCTCTCGCTTTCTCTCTGTCTCTCTGTTTCTCTGTTGATGGTCGCCGACGAAGCTTTCGGCGTGCCGTACGAAAGCTCGTTTGCGATGCGATCGTAATTGCAATCAGCCTGCCCGTATAACTTCGATAGCCATCGTTTCGAAATCACTGAGCCACCATGGCCTCGCGACGGGGGTGACTTGAAATAACCGACGCAATTATACCGCCATCGCCGGAAGCCCCATCGACGTCACTCGACCGGTCGGCCTCCGGTGTTAATCGTTCCAAGTCACTCGACAGGCGGATGGAAGATGAGAAAGAGAAAGAGAGGAAGAGAAAAAAAAACAGAAAGAAGATATGACCAGCACAAAATTCCGAATTACCTGACGCGTCCGCGTCAAAATCGCGTGAAAATTTAATCGCTACTTTATTTCGTCAAAAATTCATTCACATTTTTCCAAAAATGTCGTCGTTTGCGAGGCGAGTAGCAATTTTCATAAAACATTACAAGTTTAAAAATTTGTGCGCTCGCGATGATAAGAGAGCCAAGCTGTTCGACAATGTTATATAACATTTGATCTTTCTCTCTCGTGACTTAAGCAGCTTTGTAACGTATTATTTATCGATATTTGTGCCCAGGCGGCTCGTGTCATCGCCTACATAAAAGATATACAAGTATACGATGTCAGGAAAAGCGCATCGCGACAGCGTAACGGTGTGAGCTGCTTTTCGCGATGTAAGCCGATATTTTCCTTCTCGGAAAATGGCCGCGTGATGTTATTCCAAAAATATATAGCTTGATTTGTCTAAAATTATCGCCCGAGGTATGAGGTGAAATATCATCCGATAAAACACGATAAAATGATCGGCAAGCTGTAATCCCTCGCGATCTTCGATTATTTAATAAGAAATCTATTTACGATCTTTTTTATATCAGAGAGAATTTCCGTCTTTTCGGGAATGAAATTGAACGGAATAATTTTTCCTCCTGATATCGTATTGTTCACACGCGCGCTTCTAATAACACATTAGTTAAGTTTTATTTAAAAAAATCCCTTTTATCCTGAAATCGGTAGATAAAATCTTCTCCTTCTCCTCCTACATAAAAAAATCCATGTGTACTGTGAAGTGCGCGTTTCGGAATCGAATCTATCGCATCTATTGTTGCCTCTTTTCCGCGTTGCCGATTGGTTAGTTGATCGAGTCGAGTCGAGTCGAATCGAATCGGTAAGATCGAGAGTAAATAATGATAGAAAAGCGATTTTGACAGTTTGTCGTTTACGTGGAGAAAATTAAAAACGTGACTAAAGTAAAGTCATGTGACAGGAAAGAATAGAAAAACAATACGTGAATAAAGTAACGTAACTGTAATTTATATTATATATAACATTTTTTTAAATAATATATATTATACATGTATTTTATTATATATTTATAATATTATACTTTATATTGTATTATATGTATTATATGTATTATATACATACTACATCAAGATCACTGACCCCGGCCGCGCGACCTTCGCGGGGTCACTGACTCCGGCTGCGCAACCGCAGCGGAGTCACTGACTTTGGTCACGTGCTTAAGTAATAGTATATAATATAATATTCTATATATAATATAGAATATTATATATAATAGAGGAGACTGGGGCTGAATGTGACACGGGTAAAAAGTTACAAGCTTTGATTAGTAATGAAAAATAAGTGCTACATTAAAGCTAAAAAGAAACAAACGCGACAACTGTCACGCGTCACACGCGTCAGTAACATCATCGTTGTTGCAATTGTTTTTCATCGCTAATTTAAGGTTGTAACTTTTTACCCGTGTGTCACAACCAGCCCCAGTCTCCCTTATATATAATATTCTCTTTTTTATTCTTTTTCCTGTCACGTGACTTTAGTCACATGGTGTTTTCCTACTTCTCCTTGTCACTATTTTTCGAGTTTGATTATCACGCGTTATTTCTGACATCTTTCATATGTGTATTATGTTTGTAACTTATTATAGGTTTGCAAGACGTGTGTACTAGCTACATCGCGGTGACAGGTTGTGTTTACTGACACAACACGTTAAGATAAAAATAATCATAGCGCGCGCCTGTGTTGTGCTAGTCATGTGAAAAAGTGTCATCTTATTCGAAGACTAAGCATTTAATTATTACGCCGATTCATGAAGCGCTGCTCACACACACACACACACACACACACACACACACACACACACACNCACACACACACACACACACACACACACACACACACACACACACGCACACACACACACGCACACACACACACCACGCGACACATAAAAAGCGTGGTAATGTATATAAGTGCGTACGGTAAAGAATAAATAACCGAAGAAGACGCGCAACACTCTCCCGTTTTGCGCATTGAGTTATGCACGGTACACGAGGAGAAAAGGAATTCCCTCTTTTGTTCGATGTAAGTCGCGGGTAGTCCTATGAATAGCCAATAGAGTTACACGCGCTGAAAGGAGTTGCCTGTATCTGGTGGTGAAGGTACAAGATAAATCCTGAATATCGTAATGTCACGAAGAATGAGGCAATTTCAGCTTCTTAGCGTACAAAAGCGATCGTATAGAAAATTTTTTTTCTCTCCCGCCGGATGTGCAATATTCGATCTGTCTCCGCGGGAAAAGAAAAGCGCCGTCGCGTTTCGCTCCTTTTGTGCCAATGGATTATAAGCTCTGTTATAAAATTTAAGAACACAGAACGAGATCGGAATTGAATCTCGTCGTGTACATACACACACGAACGCAAAATGTTCGAGTTTGCGGCGTCGCGAAGTCGGGCGGCACAAAAGAGCGAGGAAGAGGAAGAGAATAATAATAAAAAAAATAAAAAAAAAAAAAAAACTCCCTCGATGTGGTGTAGCAGCATCTTATAATTCAGCGAGAAACGAGCGGGAACGCCATCACGTGGACGCACTTACTTGCGCGAAGGTCTTCCATTTTTCCTCAAGTAATCGCTGAATAATACCACCGTCCAGCATGTCCAAGTGCTCCTCCTTCGTACCGTTCAGAATGATAAATAGCGCGGAGTTCCAGTCTGAAATAGAAATTCGGAGAGAGCCATTTGCGGTTAATGGAACATCGCTTTAGGGTTTGCGCCGCGATAATTATGGGTTTTGCATTAGTGAGGGTGCACACTGGGCGTCGGTGTGTGTATAGATGCACCATGCGCAAGGGGAAAAAGGGAAAAGGGAAGGAGAAGGGAAGAGAGAGAGAGAGAGAGCGAGTAAGGGGATTGCGCGTCCTTTTTGGCATTTCATCCCCTTCTTCCGTCGCGTATCCGGCACGAAAGTTTGTCCGCCGTGTGGAAGCGGAAATTTTCCAGCGTCGTCGTCGTCGTCGTCGTCGTCGTCGCCACCCGGACTTCGCACCGTCGAGAATAAGGGAAGAACTCTCGCGCTATTAACGTTTCATTCGCAGAATGCCCGCAATCGCCGGGGGATGTTTCGGCAAAAAAAAAAAAAGCGCGACGGACGTTTAACCGGTGTGTAACAGAGCTGTGTGTACGTCGGCCCGACGAAGAGACAGAAAAAAATTTTGCAAGCAGACCCGACAGTGCGCGCGCGCGTTTGCGAGGGGGATTTTAAATATTTGAATCACGCTTACCGACTTTTAAACATTTTAACGCGCGATCGATACTCCGCCGCCTTTCGGCCCTGTCGAATCTCGTCGTGCAATATTAAGCGCAACGTTCATGTGCAAGAGACTCTTGCCGAGAGCGACAGACTATTCCGCTTGCGTATCGATCGCATGCATCTGTCGTCGCGCGCGCTTCGCTCCGGCTTTGGCGCGAGTGCTAAAGTAATTGGAACTTGGAGGATTGTATCCTCGGGAGTCCTTAATTACCGCTCGACACAGCGGCGGGCGAAAGGTGCGCGCACACGGTAGCTTGACCCGTCAAAAACATTGTTCCCCGTCTTTGGAGCGTGTAAACCTCGGCGCTATTATTTCGAGCCGGTTATATATATACATATATATATATATACATTTTGACCACTTTATACATATATATATATATATCTGTTAATTGCTCCTTCCTTTTATTCCACGGTAAAACTTCGGAAGGAAGATAAATTAACAGAGAAACTCCGCGCGCCCGAATTTTTTTTCACAATCTTGGCACTTTGATAAAAAAAGTAGCACGCAGCGGCGACCTTTCCGCAGCGCGGCGGATTTCGCATCGGTCAAGACCTTCCGAATGGAATTACGCATTTATAATTGCGGAGGATGCGCAACCTGGATTTCCACGGTAAACCCACAACGCGGCGAAACATCGTCTAATGTCTAATACCGATATTTACATATATAACTTCGATCGTCCGGTCGTCAATTTTGCATCTGACGACCGTCGGATCTTCCGGCTGCGAACCAGTATCCGCGCGATGGTGGAAGTTACTCGGTGGAACGCGCGCGCGTGTCCGTTAGCCGCGTAATTATATCTGACTTCGGTGCAGCGAAGCCGCACCGATAGTTTTCCCCGAGATTCTCTCCTTCGACGGAGGAGGTGTACCGCCGTCTAAGTAACCTCCTCGCGCGGCCGGACGTTGAACCGAACTTAAATAACGAACTACCACTTTGGCCGCTCCATTTCCTCCGATCGGCGGCAATTATTTCGGGGAACCGATCGCAAAGTTAATCGTAGAACGTGGCGCGTTCCTCCCTCTTTCCCTTCACCCCTTTGTCTAGTAGATAAACTTTCAGCTGTGATGGATTTATATCTGTGTTGCGACATTGTGTTGCGACATTGTGTTAACGCGGGATGAGAGAGAATCGTCGAGGAATAATGTATAATGAGCATAAAGTATATACATAAATTGAAAATCAATTATGCACAAGTTGGTATTATTAAAGACTTTCGCGAGATTGTAAACTATATAAAGTTATCTTAGTATCCATTAGCTGAACAGTTTGGCTTTAATTCTTCCGCTTTGGAAAACAAGCGGAAGCTTTGGTTTGTTAACGGTTTATTATCAAATCCTCGCGATATCGTCTCTTGTATAAAACATATATATATATGTACAGTTTATTTATTTATTTCGCTTTTATATAGATTTTGCACCGTGTCTTTTCTAAGATACCCTTCTATTATTGTCGTCGCGATAAACTCCACGATATGCGAGTCTATGTCGAATGCTCTCGAAATAGACTTTAGCACACCTCGACATTTTTCTCGGGTCGACAAGTCGATAGCTTCTGGTATTGAAGTTAAATAATAGAAGAGAAAGACTTCGTGACAGCTCAACGGATAATTAAAATCGCGTTGGCGTCTACCGGGTGTCGTCAAGATTAAAGATACTTTTTCTTATCGTTGAAAAACTAATTTATATTCTCTCCATGTTTGATGTTTAATATATACGTCATAAATTGCATTTTGAAAGCGTAAACAAAGTAATGAAAAATTTTCTATTATTCTAATTGTGATCGCGAGGATATTGATAAAAAGTTTAACGCCCTTTCAAAGTCAAAGAATAACGAAAAACGTCGGAACGTTATTTGTGCGAATTATAAAAATTTACATTCGTTAAAAAAATGTACATTATTCTTTTGATAATTGTGTACATTGTTAATTTAATAACTTTTATTAATTACGTGTAGGCGGGATACTCCGTGCACACAATTGTTATCGTTGTATTGTGTTTACTCTTTTCAGTCTTTATAATAATCCCCACAGTATCCACAAATATAATATCAATAAAAAATATCTGTTAATATCCTTCGCACGGAATAATTTTATATTTTGCAGAAAATAACTTATCTTTATTTATACACACTGAACATATATCATATCATTGCGTGTATCTTTTTGCAGTATATCCATAAAATTTAAATTAAAATTTAAATATAAGCCAGCATGTGCTACTTAACATATTAATATTAGTATAAAATTTTATTAAACATAACATATATATATATATATATATTTCAGAGACTCAAAGTAAAGAGAGAGAGAGAGAGAGAGAGAGAATATTTTTGCGCGCGCATTTGGGAAAAATATTTTCGTCCCTGGTACACGTCGAGCAACTTTTACATCGCGGATCGTTTCCACTCAACCTCGAAAACTGCCGGAGTCCTCTTATGTGACGTCGCTTACGTGCGAAGGAAAAGTCTGAAATAGGAGGTTGTGTAACGTTGAAAGAGGGCAAGTGTCTTAACGATCGCGCGCGTCGCGTCGTTGAGAATCTGTCTCCGGCCAAGAATACCGTAAAGCTTGCTCAAACGGTGTGACATCGTCGTTGCATTCATATGGCGACCAACACACACACCACCATGTGTTCGCGCACTCTCGCGACGCGATTACTCGCGGGTTAATCCTGTGTCGCGCGCAAATTTACATAAGAGTATACAAGTGCGGCACATAAATGTCCCGACCAACAGAACGTTCAACGTAAACTGTCCGCGATAAAAGTTCTCGGGGCGCAGTTATTTTTTTTGTTTTTTTTTTGTTTTTTTTTTTTGGAAGCGTTTATTTTGGAAATTTTAGTTGAAACATTTCACGCACCCGGGGCGTCTGTGCTCTTACATATTTATATACGCGACAGGATTATCCCGCGAATGGTCGCGAAAAAATGATGGCGTTGATCGCACCGCCGCGCCGCCACGGAACAAGTTGCGACGGTCCGCAGCGCGAAGATGATACCCGGAAGTTGGGAGAATAACATTTTGCGCGCGCACAACGTGCGACTGCCTGAATTAAAGCGGAGAAAAAACACCGACGATCTGGACAGGAAAGGGCGGGAACGGCGGCGGCTTTCTCGCGCTAAAAGCTCCGACCTCTGACCGCCGTCACCGAGGTTGGCTCTTTTGGCCAACCGCCACCATCCTGCCATCCTCACCCTTCCGACTTGGTCCGACTCTTCCTCGCCCTCTTTCTCTCCCTTTCTCCTTCCCGGTCTTGGTTTAGAGTAATTAAGCGTACCCGTAGAAGAGACGTGCCGAAAGTTCGGCCTGCCTCGCTATATAACGCCCTGTCCTCTCGACGTTACTTTCCTCCATCCGGATGTTCCAGCCGCCATCCCCTTTGCGAAGTCGGGCCGACGCTCGGTGGGCGCCTCGCCGGAGACGCCCGGTGTCGCGAAGAGGAAGGAGGTGGATGGTAAAGGTAGGTAGGTGGGTAAAGGGCGGCGGCCAACGAAGGATCGAAGGGATAATGGATTTCGAAACTAAATGAAACGCGAGCTAGCGACGTCGCGTCGCGCCGCGTCGCGTCCGCGGCTAATCTCGAAACTTCGTTAAATGCCCGTAATTGCATCCTGCGACGACCTGTCTGTCCCGCCGCTCCGCGCGCTCCCTCAGGCATCCGCATCGCGCGCGAAAACCCGCAACGACGACGAACGCATCCATTTCTCGGAGCAACCCTCTCTCTCCACCCCGACGCGAACTTCGATACAATTTCACGCAAGTTCGCGATCGGCGGTTCCCTCTTAAAATGCGAACGGCGAAACGCGCGCGAAACTTTCTCCCGCTCCCCATTCATTGCGGTTCTTTGTCGGAAATTTCGGTGACGTGACAAACGCCCGCGGGATAAAATTGAACTTTTTGGAGAGAATATTCCTGGGAGGATATCATGACACGGTTGATTCGAATTTCGATCGTGGACGCGCATTTTTTATTCGAAGGACACCGGTCACTTTGACAAAATCGAATCAATTTCGGTCAACTAAGTCCAAAATTGTGTTTTGTAATGCAGAAATTTGAGAAGTCGAGGAAAACAGAAAGTGGTAAAACTCGTGTTGAAAATTTAAATACCATATAAGATTACATTTTTACACAAAGTTTTATGAACCCAATATAAAGACAATCAGAATCAAATGGAAATATAATATGATAATTAATTAAATATCATAAGATAATTAAATATTTTATTACATTAAATTGATAAATTTAATATTAAATTGAAAAGAAATAAAATATAAGTTTTTTTCGTATCTTTCGTATCGAATTGCCGCTATTTAAATTATTTAGTTTAATGTGCTGCCGGCTTTTTTTTGTAACAAATAGAATTAGTATCACGAACGCGTTCAATTGGAAACATACTAATGAGGTTTAATAATGTACGAATCTTTTGGCAAACTCCACCCTTTCCATTGCAACCCCTTTATATACATAATTAAACGTACAATCGTGTATAAACTATCGACCTCTGAAATTACGCAAATGTCGCTACAGCAATTCGCATGATTTCTAAAACGGTTCCGTTTATCTCGTCGGATTCCAATTAAATGAGAGAAATCGACTTTCGATTCTAAATTACCGTCAAAACAGGGAAAATATCGACGCGATAACGACATGGCGCGAGTTGCGACGATAACGAGCCAATATCAGATAGTTTTTTTTTTTTTACTGCGAGCACGGCATGTTATTCGGCGGGCGCTACTTGTTTGAGGAAAGAGAAAGAGAAAGAGAGAGAGAGAGAGAGAGAGAGAGAGAGAGAGAGAGAGAGAGAGAGAGAGAGAGAGAAGCTGCTATAGTTTACTATCCGTCCGCTACGTTCGCGGATGTACGAAAACTTCGTAAATTTCTTTTTTTTTCCGGAAGAACTTCGCAAACCCGATTTTGCTCCCGTATCCAATTTTACAGGAGAAGATAGTCCCTTCTTGTTCTATATATTGGTCCTCTCTCGCCCTTTCCTATCTCTCTCTCTTTCTCTCTCTCTCTCTTTCTCTCTTTATCTTCATTCTCTTTCTCGCCTTTCCTGTCGTCGACACTCGCGTCGCAATTTTTGCTCTGTCCCCACCTTCTTCTTGTTGGGACGCTTACACAGGAGGAGGTGGAGGAGGAGGAGGAGGAGGAGGAGGAGGAAAAAGGGTGAGAGGGCAAGCCGTACGGCGGAAACCGTGAGGACAATTTTACATAAGCCGCACATATGACACAGCGCAAAAAACGCCCAGCGCGGAATAATTTACCGAATATTCCGAAAACGTCCCCGGCGAGATACCTCGTTCCCGACTTGAAGTATGTTGTAATATTCGAAATTGGAGAGCGCGCTCACGCTCATAGAGAAGAGAACGCGAGAGTGAAGCAGAATGGAGCAGAGAAGCTTTATTTTTTTTTTTTTTTTTGTTTTTGGTTTTTGTTTTATGAGAATGTGCGTCCCCCGGAGCATACATTTAAAGTTACACGCGACAATAAAGAAATAAAGAAAGAAGGAGGTGAATGCAAAGTGTATGCGCAACCACAGATTAAATCAACAAATTTGTTATTAGAAATAAAAAGAAACAATCGTACCAAAAATACTCCTTTTTCTTCGAAGTAAAAAGAAAAAAAACACTTCTGCGGAATTGACGATAAAATTCTGCTTCGTGTTCAGAGATTCTTTTCGTTAAAGAAATGCTGCGCGAGCGGGCGAAGTTCGATAACGCGCTTCTTCACCGCGAACTAGAGCAAACTGGATTTTTAGAGGAGAGCTCAAGAGCGAGACACACACAAACAGAGAAACGAGATGTTTTCGCAGGAAAGGCGAGAAAAAAAAGAGGGAGAGAGAGAGAGAGACAGAGACAGAGACAGAGAGAAGATCCTTCGTTCTCTCTTTTTCTCTTTCTCTCTCTCTCTCTCTCTCTCTCTCTCTCTCTCTCTCTCTCTCGCTCCTTTTGTCTCTCTCGATCTAGTGGTGCCATGTCGCACTATGTGTGTCACACTACTACTATTCGAGAACATCCCCGGCCTTGACTCGTCGCAATTAGTCGGGGAACACGCGACACAAAGTGAGGGTCCACTTGAAGTCGCACGATCCGGCGAATTGCGGATGACGATTCTCTCGTCGAGGCTTACGAGCCACGGGGCACCGGCGTAATTCGATTAAGCTTTACGACGTACTTGTTCTGCCGTCCGGTAGCAGCGTGTCGAGAGCATTGAGAGGGTACGCCGAGCAGGTGATATTACTGTAACGCCAGAACTCCCGCGCGGACAGCTCCAGCATCTCACGGAAGACCTCGGCACGCCCCAGCTGGCAGGCGAGTGTTAGCGGGGTCAGACCCGCGGCGTTCACAATTCCATTGCGAGCGGGTAGTTTCGGATGTCGCAGAGCGTAGCCGAACATGTCCTGATAAATAACAGTTCTCACGTGCGCGAGTCGTTCGACTTGTGCGGCGTAAAATGCCGATTTTCGCGTTCACTCGAGAACGAAATGAGAGTCTTTCAGTAAATTGTTTTCGAAAACTCCGTAAAATAATTGCAAAACAATTATGTTAATTTGATCATTTTTTTTTTTTTATTATTTTTTTTATTTTTCAGATATAAATGGTCTTTGGGATCTCACGTTTATTACCTACGTACCAATTTATCGCCAACCACAACCATGTGCAGAATCATATTCCCAAACGAGTCCTGCTCGTTGGGATCCGCGCCGATGTCGAGCAGGAGGTTGTAGACGCTCTCGTTGGCGCAGCAGGCCGCCCAGGCGAGCGGATACTCGCCTAGATACGCGAGTCCCTCGTAATCGGTGTTCCTCGCGGGATTCATACGCTGCTGATCGCGCGGCAAAAAGAAGCTGCCGGTCGCCCGCTGCGACATGATCGCTCCCGCGTCGACCAGGTCCTGCACAAGCTCGTTGTTGTCGTAAGCGATCGCGAGATGGAGAGCGCTCGCGCCGAGGTACTCCTCGCCCTCGACCACGTCGATCGCCAACCGCGGGAAGCACTTGAGAAGGATACGCGCGATTCTGGTGTGCATCCGCGTGTCGCATATGATGAGTACGTGCAGCAGGGTCTCGCCCAGCGAGCCCCGGTACTGCATCTGCCAGCAGGCCTCGTGATCGTGCCACTTCGCGAGCGGATCGAAGCGCGACAGCGAGGCCTCGATCGGCAGCACGACTTGCTCGAGATCGCGAAACTTCCAGCGCAGATACTCGGCGCGATTGATCACCTGACCCTTGCCGTCCGCGTACATCAGGACGCCGAACTGCTCGCGCACCAGCTTCTCCACCTCGGGCTGACCGCCTTGGTTGTACGCCTCGATCAGCTCGCCACCCTTCTTGTAGTTAGCCAGTCTGTAGAGCAGACACTGATCCTCGTTACTTGCCTGGCTGATCACGCGGTCGAGAATTGAGCCAGCGTTGACCTGGCTGCCGCGACCAACGCGGCACGAGCAAACACCACCCATTCAGACATATCCACCACGGCTGTCGGTCACGGGGAAAATTGCGGCTGAAAGCTCCCGCGCGTCGTTAAGCTCTCCTTGAGCTCTCTCTCTCTCTCTCTCTCTCTCTCTCTTTCTCTCTCTTTCTCTATCACTGTCGCACCTCTTCTGACTTTTTCTGATTGTCGGCTCTTATCAGCCGACGTCGACTTCCGAACAGAGTCCCTCTTGAGTGTCTTCAGATGTTCTCAAGGTCGAGCGACGCGCCATTTCCGTCTTGACGATAAAGCGAAAAGCCACTTCGTCGTATGGCTACTCGCGGCCGACTCCATTGATATAACACTCGAGATTCTCTCTTACCCTCCTTCGACGAGAAAGGTGGCATGACGCGGGGCAAAAAGAGAGAGAGAGACGGAGAAAGCATACGAAAGTGCTGGTATTCGCGCTATAGCAACCGGCCGATCCATAAGCGGTGCCTGGTGCGGACGAACACGACAGGGTCACCACCACTACCACTCGCACGTGTTCTGTGCCGTGAAATTGGAAGTATTTTTACGGAAACAAATTTATCAGAGATACCGCGTAAGATTAACTCGTGTTGCGAGACTTGGATTTGGAACAAGGATTTTATTAGCGCAAATTTTATTTGCGTTTTGTTTCAGCGTTTCAACTCGAAACGCGCGCATTTTGGCAACGTGGCGAAGACCATGACTTACTCGTAGCCCGCATGTCGATATCGCTCGACCTTAACACACTTTCCGGCGGGTTGAATATATGCGCAAATCCGTTCATGAGGTAGTCTACAAGGACGCGTGAGATAAAAATATAGAAAAAAATATGCCTGAATAAATATCGGAGATAGACTTTTATGATTGCGTGTTCGACACGAAAAAAAAAAAAACTTGAACTGCTAACTGAGCAAACTTGTTAAATGAAATAAGTATAGAAGAGAAGAATCCCAATTAGCATCTCGGGAAAGGGGGAAAACAGCAAACTAAGTACTTAGATCTTTTGTTGTTTTTATTCCTTTTATTAAAGAGAAATATACTTAGGTGAGCAAATTGATCGGACGTACTTTGTTCGTTTTCATTAATTTAATCGAGATAAAAAAAAAAAAAAAAAAAAAATATTAATCGCAGTTTTTTTCCTCGCACGCAGCCACTCCTGATTTCCAGACCTGGTTTCGCGCTTCATTACACCCATATTTACAACGAGAAATGTTGAAATCAATTTCCCATCCTCCCCTCCTTCCCCGAATAAAACAGTTAAGCGCGACGTATGTCTGTGTTTAAAGTGCGCACGTATTTGACCGGAACGCAACGAACATTCCCGTTGAATTGGAGCGCTGCAATAATACGTATATTGTTACATCGTTGGCATCCAGAATTAGCATCGACGTCGATGCCTGTTCCAAATATTGAGCTATCGAGTGATTACGATGCGGCGCGATGCGAGCGCGTTAACAGGTGCGAGCGCGCACGTTATCGACTCCAAACGAGAGACGGGAGGGGCAAAAAACTCGCAGGAGTTGCGTTGTTTTAAGGAAATAGATCCCTCTTTTATATTTATTCGTTCGTGAAAAATTGCTCGCGATTTCGCGCATCGAAAAACGCGACTTTCCATACAACGCGTATACATACATACATATATATATGTACATATATATATATATGTATATATACATACATACATACATATATATGTATATATATATATTTCATCGCGGCAGCAGACAAATCATCGTTGTCCTCGTTCGACGAATGGTATATGTATACGCAGTACATATTGTCGGCAGTATTATACGCGTCACGCTATTGTAAATTGATGCCTCGTCATTCCTCAAATGACTTTGGTGAAAAAAAAACAACTACGTACTTTCAATTCGACATTCCACCGCACGACTGCGCCGCGCGTTCAACAGATCGAATGTAAACGCCGTCCGCGCGCGATTGTGGCGCAATTGCAGGATAAACGGAAATGCGGGATTGCAGGTTGCACCGTATTATAATTTGTCGCGCGCGCACACAAGCGAGCGTCAAAATTCGTTGTGTGCGCGCGGATTAAGCGCCCAAGTGGACACTCTCAACGCTTTTACAATCGCAGGATCTCGGATAGCGCGAAAGTTTGAGAAGCGCGATGTAAGCTATTATCAAGTTGAATTAGTTCCTCGTGGATGAGTCATATTTTTTTTTTTTTTTTTNTTTTGTTTTTGATATTGGATATACTTCAGTATATCCGACACCAAATCCAACACCTTTCAGCTGAAACAGCACGAGATTTTTTGCGAAACAGTATAATTTTTTTATTGCAATCAGCAACCTCCATTTAAAATCAAAAAGCTTAACGCTGAAACAATAACGCGCTACACGCGAAACCATTCGGATACAACGTTTTTCAAATAATATTTCGGAGCGTTTTTATACGTGCGATTGTTTTGTCTATATAAACGTTCTTTCCCACTATTTTTATTCTTATAAATATTTGTTAGCTTACAAAAAAAAAGCGTAGAAAAAAAAAAAAAAAAAAAAAAGATTTTTCGTTCCGTCACACGCGCACACACAGACACCACCGGTGTGGAAATTCACCGTAACTGGATTAAAATATTTTCCGAAATATTGTTAAACTATGCGCTTTCATTCAACGGCCCTTTCAATTAATACATTGTTTATGCAATTCGATATGCAAACTCACTTTTTTTCCCACCCCGTTCGTTGCGCGCGGAGCGACCGCAACAATACCGTGAGTTTGCCCAACGTGATAAACTTCCAAATTTACACAGGCACGGTGGGAATCCTAGGGAAAAGAGATAACAGCTCTCGCGAGCGAGCGCGCGCGCGCGCTGGTATCTCACGCGCCGTAATATATACAATAAAATGTATTTCCACAAACTGTCACGCGCCTGACAAACGCTCCCGTAATGTATTCAATATCTGTACGTACATACGTGAACGAGAGGATTATTCGTCGAATGTCAGCTCGAATTGGCGTCGAGTTACCGCTCGTAGTAATTTATGCGTGTGTACAATATCTACCTTGCTACGTATATGTATATATGTATATGTGTGTGTGTGTGTGTGTGTGTGTATATATATATATATATAATATGTGTGTGTGTATATATATATATATATATTATATATACGCGATCATATGCCGGCGAAGAAGAAGAAACGAGTCTCTTCCAATGTGCCGTTAGCGGTCGCGTGCGAATATAGCATAACACGAGTGCAGTCGTCGGATTTCGAAAGACGTAGAAAGATTGTCAATGAGAATCTTCTAGATGCGTCATTGTCGTCTCATGCGACGCAAAAAAATGATATTTATGTGCTCGCATGTGTGTGCGTGCATGTTTGTACGGACGTGGCAAATTATATTTCCAGCACGGATGACTCAACACCTGCGTCGATTATGCCGGTACCAGTCGCGACAAGGAAAAACTACTTGTCTGACTAATTCATGTCGCGCGAGTTCTGTCCCTCTCCGCGTGCGAAGAGCTAATATGACTTTAAAGAGGGCAAATATGACGGGAGATAACGTTACGGGGTTAACAGCGTTTAAATGCGACCCTAACGTGCGCGCGCGCGTGTAAATTTGGAGAAGGGTATAATCTTCTTCCCCCCTTGTCTCTCTCTTCATCGAACTGTAGTTAGTAATTTTGTTTTCTCAACTTGCGAGTTTCAACGCCGCAACAAACACACCGTTCGCGAAATCCGTTCGCGGTGTATATACACTTTTCGCAACGTCATCACAGTTCTTCATAACGATCCGTCGTCGTTAACGTCGCATTTACTTTCTCCGATTGCGCAGTTTTCTCTCGCTGTGGAACTTTTGCACCGCGACGCGATCCAGTTATCCTTAATCGACTACGTCTCGAGCATTTCAAAGACGAATTACAAAGTCTAATACCGCGAAGTCTCTAGCCGCTAACGAGCTAATGCGTTTGTCAAATCCCGGAAGAGGGAGGACACGTGATGTGTACAAGAAAAAGAGGAAGAAGCAAGATTTCCATTCTCGCTTTCTTTGAAGAAAAGAGTCGTCACCGCGCGTTTATCGCAAAATTGTGCAGTCGGCAACTTTTTTCTGCGTGGCATCTCTTACGCGCGCGCGCGCGCGCAGAAGAAAATCACATAGTTTGAAATTACAAAAGTAAGCGCGCAGTAAAGTAAGATATACATCTTAACGCGGACATATTGAGAATTATACGCGATGAAGGATCTCTCTCGGCTTATCTTATTTATGTAAATTGCCATTCTTACGTAAACAAACACGCATCATAAAAAAAAAAAAAAAAAAGATTACAGAGCGCTCTTATCTCTCAACGTTGACGTATCACTTCAGACACGAAAATATGAATATCGTATAATAAGCTGTATGTGTCACCGCTTATTAGAAATTTGCGTCACGACGCAAAATACATTTCTGCGTGCTTCTACATGATAAGATTTGCATTAAATAAACAAAGTTGACGGCACAGTAAAAGATTAGTCGATGTGCACGCACATCTGCATTTCATGATCGAAATGTGTGTGTACGTGTGTGTGTGTGCACTTGCGCCGAGCAAAAAATAAATACTTTGCATACATATATACATATATATATATATATATATATATACACACGGTAGTTGCGCGATCGGGATTTCTGTAAGCATAATATCGCGGACACACTGTAAACATTTCTTATGCTAAATGCACCGCGACGCGATTTCTCGGTGCTTTTGCGCAGAAACGGCTAAATCTACCGTGAAGATTAAACACAAACTAATAAAATCATTTCCGACTAGCTGAGTAGAAAATGTTGATGATATTCAGCTCCGATCGTGTGTATTCTCTGTTTCATTTACAACAATTCCAATAAGAGATGATTTTAATGAGATGAAGCGTTCGCGAACGGATGAGAGGCACGGCTGTGCCTCTGCGGCAACACACGTGTTGCCATTAACACGATATGCCTGTCGAGACGTTAAATTATCGAAGAATATGCGATGTATAATTAGAACGCAAATTGACGCGTGGGGACTCTCACATCCGCTGTGTATACGCCCTATCTTTTCCTTCTCGGATAATCATGTCAAGTTTGTTATTCCGCCCAGAGTCTTTTTCATAATTAAGGCACCAAAGTATAGGCGTGTCGCGCCTGTAACGTCGATACGGAAACTCTCGACGGGAAGTTCGACGCTCCGAGCTCTCGAAATGCTCTCGAAAATGGGAGAGGAAAACTCGGAATTTAAATTATGCACACCCGACCCTTTCCGCCCGCCGTTAAATACATTTAACCGATTGCTGTACCCTTTGCCTCTCTCGCTTTCGCCGTTGAACAAGAGTTCCACGGCGACGGCGACGACGACGACAACGACGACGACGACGACGACGACGACAACGGTCGCCTTCGGCCATTATACCCGGCGCTCTTCCGCGTCATAAATTATAGCGGCCTGGTAACGCCGCCGTCCGCCCGGTCCGGAAGGATCGCAGGAAGCGGGCACGAAGCCGAAAACAACAGCGTGATCCACATTGCAATCGACCCGTGAAATGCATTTTCGCGAAATTACCAGCGGCCTGTGAATGAACACTCCGCGTCGCAACGCGGCGGACGCAACGGGAACAGGCAGAGGGGAAGGAGGCGAGGCGCAGCCGATCCGAAAATTCGTTCAAAATCCCGAATACATCGGACATACGCAATTACTTTTAATCAAACTGTCTGTTGTTTGCAGGCCGCCGTGTGTGTCGATGCGGTCACTGAACGCACGACTTAACGGCATTCGAACCCAGGTCCGGGTCTCGCTCTATCTATCTATCTATCTGCCTCTCTCTCTCTCTATCTCTCTCTCTAGTTATTATTAACCCATCGCACACTTGCACGCTTGTGACTAAACGCACCGGTGAACAATAGCTGACGCAGTTGTATCGCGAGGACGCTCATTTCGATTCAATGTGACGCAGTGGAGAGAGATGATATTGCGGTTGAACGAAAAAAACATTTTCAAATATATACGTAGATCGACGATTGTGTGTCATCTTCGCAACATTGAATTCCGAGAGATCTGAAATTGGAAAAAATAAAACAAAAAAACGTTGTCGAAATTTAATAAGCGCAGCGCTGATAAAAAAAAAAAACTCCATAATTCGCGTTCCCGAGATTTTTAGGAAGAGATTTTGTTAATGTCTATTGTTTATTTTCGTTGACAAGTTCTCTGAAATGTTTTTTTTTCCGAAAGTTTTTAACGGATATAAGTCAAGCAAATAAGTTCTCGAGGCACGATTTTTTTTTTTTTTTTTTTATTGTAAATAACATCGATTTCTCGAAATCGCGTTTGTTATGCTCGTTGCAACTTCCGCCGCAACCACATCGCGTCACGGACGACGCGTATATGTCGCGATACACAGGTATACGAACGCGGAAGTTACCTAGAGCGATAATAGGCGCAAGGTTAAATTCATATGCGGTAGGATGGCAAAACGGACGTCGCGCAATAACGCTTTTATCTGTTACAATGAATCGCTTGTCCCTATTGTGTTGTTGCCGGGTTTTTATGTATGTACGCAGAACACTCGCACGTATGAATCGCGTGCGCGGAAAAAAATCCGTGCTAGTAACAAGGCGTGAGTGGTGTATCCTTATATATACCTTATTCAAGACGATGGAAAAAAAAAATTGCGTTGCATTACGTGATTCCATCTACAAACACACACACACACACGAACTATCGAAGACTATTCTGAGAAAACGACATTGTTACATAAATTTGCACAGCATCAACACAGCCGATCAATGATCACAAGGTAATCATAATGAGGGGTTATATATCTTGCTGCTGCGACGCTCTTTTGCTTTATCAACACTTTTTTGCACGGTAGAAAAAAAAATTACAGGTATCTTCTTCTCCAGGATGCAAAACTGCTGCGAAGATGTAAGTTGAAGATCTAGATGTATATTCTTTTCCTTTGGTTGAAAAACTCTTCTTTCACAATGCGCAAGTCTTTGCGAGATTATTTTTTTTTTTTACTGATACTATATAGAGATTCTTCGCAAGTTTTACAACCGTCGTAAGAGTTAAAAAATTACAGAGAGACAGAGCGAGAGAGAGAGAAAGAGAGAGAGAGAAAGAGAGAGAGAAAGAGAGAGAGAAAGAGAGAGAGAGAGAGAGAGAGAGAGAGAGAGGAGAAAACACGTTTCCGCGGAAGCGCTCTCTTGCATAATTACTGAAATTACGCGAAAGTAATTATGCAAAATAATTGGTTGCAAAAGTAGTCTGTTCGTGTCTCTCAGGGTTAAGCATCTCGTCAAACGGGTCTCGTCTGTTTCCAAAGTTTCCGGTGCGGCATAGCGGACTTTCTTACGCGAAACCGAGCATCATGCACACCGATGCGTACATCGAACCGCGCGTTGCAATTACAACGTGTGTGTGTGTGTGTACGTGTGTACGAGACGCACGATAATTATCGTGTTCCGCTGCGCCAGTTTGCAGCCCGCGCCTCTCCCTACGGCATCGCGCGGTTTCTGGAATAATAATAATAATAATAATAACAACAATAATCGCTTACACACAAGCGCGTGTACTCCTCATGTATACACCGCGTATCACCCTCGCATACGATAAGGCTCTTCTGACCCGATTCGCGATTATGAAATTTTACAATTACTTTAACCCATACATTGAAAACGCGACTTGTGCGTCACATTTATTCTTTTATATTTTTTTTTTCCGATAAGTCTTGACGAATAATGATTTCTCGAATATACGAATTGAGGCAAGTGAACGAGAGAGAAAGATGAACGCGATAACGTTTAGAGCGTTTACTCGGAACAGCGTGTTATTCACGACAGTTAATAACACATTAACCCTCGTCTGACATTTGCGTAATTATCAGTTTACGGTTTCGCGGTAAGTATAATATACATCGCGAGAGACACCGAAGTCTCACGTGTGCAACGCGACGACATATAGGTGTTCACAAACGTGATTAACGACGAGTCACAAGTACGCGAGTGACTGATCGTTATAATTGCGTTCCGCGAAAAATCCGGTAACAATCACAGACGTTGTTGTTTCGTTAAGTCGCGCTTTGTTCGCGATATATTATTACACTTACGCGACAAGGCGACGTTACTTGGAAAAATCTTCGATACCAAGAAAAGTCTCGCGGTGTGACTTAAAGCTGCGCGCCGCCGTCGGTCACGTGATATCACGCGTCACGTGGCCGGTTGCGCGACCGCTTATTGGCTCGGTCGCGATCGGGGGATCGCATATAGTCGCGTCAAAAGCCGCGGGGCAAAGCGGTGCTTTCCTACGCGAGCCGGTTCGTGGCGGAGTAACCTTGATCCTTTCGAGAGTCCGTCGTACGTGACAGCCGGTCGGTCGGTTTAAACCAGTCAGTGTTGATCGGTGCATCGTCCAGGCAGCAACCGAGACTTTAACTGTTTCCGGAGACCTTTAACTGTTGTTCGAGTTTCTTCGACAGCATGAAGGCGTACGTTTTCCTAGCCGCGGCGTGTCTCATTGCGTGCGCGCACGGACTTCCGGGTGAGTGACATCTATTTCTCTATTAACGTAGTTTTTTTCACCAAATCTTTTCTGCATATAAAGATCAAATTTTGATCATGTCAAGCAAAAAAAAAAAAAAACTGCAAGCATCGTGATAGATGTTTCACGATGGATACTTACGCGCAGCGCAGTATTAACGCTCGCTTGTATATTTTTTTTGAAACGTAGCGCAAACTTTTTAATTTTCTAAAAAAAGTTTTTTTCATTTAACTCAAATCATGCTGAAGACACGCGAATGTAGAGTTTTTGAATTACATTTTATTGGTTCTTCTCCGCGTGGAAAAATTCTTTCTAGAAAATAGTGGAAGTTTTTCATCTGACAATCATTATGATCATAGGTCGACCTATTTTGATCTAATTGATCTATTAATCATCAAAAATACACTTTTGAGGGAAAAGCTAAATAGAGATAACAGTCAAACATTTTTCAAAAGTCAATATTCATCTACCATCTTTATCACAACGTGATATTTTTAATACAAAAATGTGGTCGATCTCTTTGCTTTTGCACGAGCTAAATGCAATTCTCGAAATAGGTTTTCTATTCATAGTTTTTCTATTATATTTGTTTTCTGTAATCGGATATATATTTCTCCGCTAATAATAACACTTCTCTTTGGCGACGGATCGATGTCTCGAATGTTGAATTATCTCTGTTAACGCAATAAAACCGGATTCTACGTAAATCAAGTAGCGAATTAATAGCGGCTATAATTATCCGGCAATCGTTCAGTTATCAATTTGCACGCCTTCGTCTATTTACAATTTTTGCCAGAGAAGTGTTAATCATTGAAATCTATTTTTTTGTTTTTATTGCTTGAAAATAAGCCGATCTCGATAAATATTAAGCGCCGATTGCTTTTGTAGACTCGAGTCTCGGAATTATCTTTCTTTCCGTGCAGTTTGTTTTTTTTTTTTTTTTTTTATATTTATATATATATATATATATATATATATATATATATATATAAACGAATAAATTATCGGAGTTTCTTCTCGGAATTCAAACCTTCACGCATCTCGAGTCGCAATAAAACGCGCGATCTATGTTCCCGTGCTTTGCTCCGCATGCATTTCGAGAAAGATTCCGTCTCGTTTTATCACAACTCCATTCGTCGGGGCACCGAGAGCGATTCTTCGGGATTATTTGCATTCGGTTCACGACATTTATGCGTCGTTATAAAAGGCGAAAACAGAGGGAGGGGCAAAGAGAGAGAGAGAGAGAGATATATATATACCCAGATGAATATCTCGATTGAATGTCAGGTCACGAAGAAATCGTGGAAGCAGATAGCACGCTCGAACTACTTAAGGCTGTTGTTTACTCGATTACAACTCGATATGAAATTCACTTCCAGCGTAGACTTTGCTAATTAGCATCGGAGCCCGTTTTTGTCCGAGACGGGAACGGCAGGAAGCTCGTTTAATTGAAGCTGCTTCGTCCCCAAGATAATTGTCCAAGCGAATTCCCGTCGAACTCCAATTTATTCCTCTTGATTTTAATGTAACTTTATCTCTATCGGTCTGACGTTTGTGTGTCTCAACCGTGCGGAAATCTTTACAAAAATAACACGACTCTCCTTTTCCTCTCTCTCTCTCTCTCTCTCTCTCTCTCTCTCTCTCTCTCTCTCTCTCTCTCTCTCTTTTTGATTTTTCCGGCAAATTATTTATTGGTAATTTATCAGCACGATATTTGCAGATAGAGAGATTGAAAAGTTCAGTCATATTTGTTTTGCGTTGCATTCGCGAAACGCTCGATGTACACTAGTTTGTGACGCGTTGAATATAATAATTGTTTAGACAACTAAAAAACGAGACTTTTTGATTACAAAAAAAAACGCAATTTACGTGTGATGCCGCGTTATTGATAAAAACTCGTTTCATGTATTTACATATATTAACAAACTTTTTTATTTCATCCGCTTATTAACATCCGCTTCTCTGTATCTAGACGTGTAATAAATATATATATGTATTCCTTTACGGCATCTGTTTAAAAAATATCATTTAATTAATTTTTCTATCAGGTAAAGAGCAACTTCTCTTCGCGTCTAAAGAAGATTAACGAGTTTGCATTCAAATAATTGTGCATGCATAAATGCATGCCGCGTTATTGCTGCAACCAACATTTGTAAAACAGTCTCGGAACTTTGCGCATATTCGTTGGAGCGCACCGAATGATATACGAATATTTTAACGAGTGGCATCGCGCGACTCCGCCGTCGCGTATATTATTGCACAATACGCACTAAATAACTCGGATGGTGGGGAAGGAACGGGAGCAGAGAACTGACGAAATCAAAGTCAATAGTTTTAGATCGGCATCGATTGTATTGTTGAAACCCTATCGAAGAATTATGTGTATAATGTACATCCATATATATATCTAAAAATATAATACATCTCAACAACTAGAAAACGTAATGGTTGGAACGTACACACATTAGGTTGTTGAACCATTACCGATCAAGCGCAGAGATAGGCACCGGCGAGCGCGATGAAACAATCATACAATTAAATTTCTTTCGTCATATACAATATATATATATATATCATACAATTAAATTTCTTTTGTCATATACAATATATATATATATATATATATCATACAATTAAATTTCTTTCGTCATATACAATATATATATATATATATATAGAAGATGATGAAACAGCAACTTGTGTCATTACTTTGACTGAAGAAGTGCGACGACTCCGGGGAACCGAAGAGTTTCTCTCGTAACACGATGTGCACTTGCCAGTCTCAGTGTCGCGGAATTTCGTCCCTGTTACAACAACGTCCCAGTCTCTTCGCGTGGATACAGGAGAAAACGTCTGCTTTCATTACGCCCGCTGACAAGCTGTGTGACAGCGGGATAATAATGTAATTTTTGAGACGCGAGGTGGGGGAAGAGAAAGAGAGAGAGAGAGAGAAAGAGAGAAAGAGAGAGAGAGAGAGAGAGAGAGAGAGAGAGAGAGAGAGAGAGAGAGACCAATGTAGGACGGCGGCCAACATGCCGCGCGAAAATCGAGTTTCGGCGAGTTTCGATCCTCGTCGCGGCGCGGCTCGGCGTTTCGTCTCGTTGCTCGTTCATCGTGTTTGTATCGCGCGCTGTATATACGCAAAGTAGCAGTTTGTCAGCGTCAAACGGCACGAGCCCTGCTACGTAGTGTATAAGCAGATTGCCGCTTAATCCTATTAAGAATACGTAATCGTCGTTGCTTGCTCGCTGGGTAATCGTGCGCGCGCGCGCGTCGTCTTTGAGGCGGGTTTGCGTAATCATCTGCAATCGTAAATCTCTTTCGTGCAACAAACATGGCCGTCGCGACCGTGACTCTCTACGAAGCGCGATTCGTTTACGAATAATTGCACTTTATGCAGAAATCGATACACGGTAATGGTCAAATTCACGAAAAAAAAGAAAAAGGAAGAGGGGGAATGTGTGTATATTAACGTTTGGGTACGCGGAGCGGCGCATATTTGTGTTTCCTGATAAAGAGAAATTCGCGCTCTCTCGTTAATGATCAATTATATATTAACACTCAGTTTATACATTAAAGAATAATTATCTGAGATATGAATGCGCAATTTGCAAATATCGTGATATGTAATTTCCGCAAAATGCTAAATATAAGCTGTATACGTTTATATATTTTATATATTTATATGTGTATATGTTTACACACACACGCACACACAACAATATAAAATATATGTATATATTAACCTATGATACGCGATTGAATAATTCCGATAACGTTCGACCAGTTTACTAAAAGTTTATTATCGAAGGCACGTCTCGTTGAAATTATGAGTTAGCTTTCGCGGCGCTGATATCAATATGTATTTTATTGTTACACGTGTAACGGCCTCACACAATCGATTGTATTAATAAGTTCGCGTACGTATTATTTTCGTTCTTATACCCCAGTTTTTATCACATGTGTGTACGTGACCGCGCATTTGGCACATAAAAATGCATCACGCAAATCAGTCGGGAGCCCAACTCGGACGCCAATTACAGCTGGAAAGAAGTCGTGACTAATTGCTTCCGATATATCGCTCGGAACCTCTGATTAGCCGATTCACACAGTCGTCGCGCGCGCACGCGCGCAGAGCGCGCGGTTTGCACAATCCGGTAATGTCATTCCTTCTTCCTATGTTCCGCATCGCGATCGGCGAGCCTCCCGCGTCGACATACGGGAAGGTCTTCCCTTTCACCCGCAAACGTTGTGGTTCACACGTGTGTGCGATATCACACAGGTGCGCGCGCACGTGTGTACGCGTCCCGCAACACTCGCGCGCGTGTAATGCGGATGTGTGACGTACAACATACTCGATACACGTGTGGTGCACGATCACGCAGCGGGAGAGCAATAATACAGTCTGGTAGGATATTTCATGTCCGTTTATTACAGAGCTAAATATGTCTTTCTTTCTCCGAACAGTGTGTTTCATTTTCGTAATTCGTTGTAACTTTTTTTTATTTGCGTGTAAATGTATAAAATTGAAGAATTATAACATGGAAAAGAATCAGTCATTAAGTACGCAAGGAAAGAGAGAGAAAAATTAAAAGTATATTTACAGGACTGCGGCGATCAATTCTAATTTTCGCAATTTTTCGCGGATAAATATTTTTTTTACGAAGTTCTCTTCTTATTAGGAAGTTTTTTTTTTAAAAGCAAAAGTTAATCAAGAGAAAGGCGGAGGAGGTATTTCCGACGTGGCGTTATTATTACCCTTCGTCGTCGTGTGTACAACGTCGCGCGCGATTCCATATGTGGAGTGTCCTTGCGACAGCTTAGTTTGTTGTGCACCTCCGTATCTGGAAGCGAAGTGCGCGCGGATTATGACCAACTCATATTATTTTCCTGTCGCGAACAGCCTGACCCCGTTGACGTAGTGGTGGGCTTGCCTTGAGTGGCAGTGGCACTGCAGAATATGCCGCCATTAAGTATGCAGTCCGCGTCCCGCCGCTGCC